TTTACCAATATATATAGGGTGGTAATCTTAGCTCCCCACATAGCTTTACATAGATGAAAAAAAAACATTTGATACCCATGTGAACAACTATCACTTGAACATAGATGTGTATTATGACAAATTAAATTCCAGTCCAGATCTATACAATAAAAAAAAAATGGACCCACATCCTGCAGGTGGATGTTATCAAAGAGTATGAAGCAGTGGAGCAGCAGAGAACCGGCATAGAAAAACTTTATGCGGAGACTGAAAAAAAAAATATATACATATATATATATATATTTGTTAAAGCAGGTATCTTTAGAGAATCTGAAGGGAAAAAACTCTTCCAGGCCACTTTAGATGGAAGGGGTGTTTATGGCTGATGTGGACGTCAGTGTAACCTGTAAATTGTAATTATCTGTGGTCACATGACTTTAGTTAGAGGTGAGTAAAAAGCGTCACAGTTTCTGTTTGCTGTGAACTTATAAGCACCAGTGGATTCTGTTTGGATCATTATTTCAATTTTATAAATGCTGATTTAATCCAGGTGTGTGTGTTTTGCTTTGCTTTAGTTTTTTTAGTTAACCTGGCTATGAAGAAGAATAAACCTGTTCTTGACTATACAATAAGGAGGACAGGGTGGGGCAGAGTCACATGCTTTAGGCTGGACTATGGACTGTGCACCAAAGGAAAGAAAGAGGTTAAATGCTTTTTTCTTGAGTTAACACATCTGCTGTCTTTACTTTAAAGTCTAATCAATCCCCATTCACACTTTGTCTTCATTATGAAACTTCAGTTTGTTTAGTTTTCCTGTTTTCTTATAGCCTACTTTGAACTTTGATCTCCTTACTATCCACTCATATGGAATTATTTGCTTTACCATGCTGAAAGTAGAAATAAAACCCTCTTTTGACATCCTCAGGTGTTCACAAAAATACATGTTTTTTTCTATAAACACCTGAATCTTGAATACCTTTTAATGTGGGTTTTGATTTAACAGACAAACATGAGGCGGTAACTAATAGTGAAAGGGGATTAAAATATAAACATTGTATTCTGAGCTCATCTTAGTATGAATTAGACTCCAGATCTGTACTTATTTCGATTAAGAAGTACTTTATTAATCCCAAAGGGAAATGAAATAACCCCTCTATAGGACGACTATAAACATGCACCCAGATGTGGACTCCAGTGGATTAGACGACAGTATATCCAGATTTTTACACCCAAACTGACTCAGACTGAGTCCTTATGTTAATAAAGGGCAGCAGTTTCGGTCTCTGAGCAAAGCTCAGGGAAAGATGCCCGAATAGAAAACGAAAAAAAATATGAATACCTCTAATTCAGTTATATTACATTACTTTGCGTTGGTGAACAAATTAGTAAAAAAAAAAAAAAATAAATAAATAAATAAAAATTAATGCATATAAACATGTTTTTATCATTTAGATACTTATCTGTGAATAAAAATTACGGTTGAACATAATTACATCAGTCACTGTAACCAGAAAAATATGAATATAAAAATAT